AGATTCTAGAAGGTCAGAGAAGGGGCCCCATGGAGCTACAACTCAGATCTCTGGAGAGGGGGCCCTGGCTGGCTGATGCTGGGGTAGGATAGGAGGGAAGGGCAGGATGTGGCTGGTTCTGCTACTTGGATCCAGCTGCTTCCGTGGACAGGCACTGCTACTGCAGGGAAGAAGTACTGCTGGGGTGAGATCTACAGGAACAGAAAGCACAGGTCCCTTCTTCTTTCTCTAGCCTGTAGTCTCTCTCTAGTGCCCCGTACTGGCAGGGCCTAACAGGGAGTGGCTGGCAAAGCACACGTGTGGTTTGTGGACAAAGTAGAGACTAGAAGGGTGGCTTCAGAACTGAGAGACAGTAGCTTAATAACTGGCAACGTTTGTTGCTGAGATTGCAGACTGGTGGCCTAGAAGCCACTTATGGCCACATATGGTCCATAGACATGTCTTGTGTGGCTCTCACAATACTTTAATCAAACATTTGTGTCTGGGTTTATTTTGTTAATCTGAGTGTCTTCTTCTTGGGGAATCCACAGAACTTCATCTTTCATGATTTATATTTTTAAAAAACAAATAAATGGCATGGCATCTTGGAGATTAGCTAGCTCAGTAATCAGTTTACAAATGTGGTGGTAAGGCCCATAGAGGGTGAGAGGCTTTTCTTCCAAATCACACAACCAGTGAATGGGATCTTTGGGTTCCCGGGCCAGGATTCTCGCCACTACCCTCACCGTGTTTCCAGGCAGATGGGCGTGCTCCAGCCTCTCACCACTCAAAGTGTGGTCCGTGGACCAGCAGCACGAGTCTTGTTAGAAATGCAGAATCTCAGGCCCCACCCCAGACTTAGCGAATTGGAGACTCAGAGTCTGATTTTAACAAGATTCCTCTGTGATTTATGTGCACAGTGAAATTTGACAAGTGTTGAAGATGGCTTTATTGAAGTAAAAAAAAAAAAAAAAACTCTTATTGGGTGGTAGCATTTTTCTCTGGGATGGGGCCAGGGTATAGAGAGTACAGATTGGTTCTCAGCAAATCTCCTGACCGTTCCTCTATTTCCCCTCTTCTCAATTATAGGCCCACACATATGCACACAAACACCCACACGTGCACATATAACCACACGTGCATGCACTCATACATATGCATACATGCTCTCTCTCTCTCTTTCACACCTGCATACACACCCTATGAGCCATTTATGATCTGGCCTCTGTCCTGCCCTCCAGCCCCAATCCCTCACCAGGTTCCCCACTATGCTCTATTCACACTGAACTACTTGCGAGTAGTTGCCCAAACACATCAGGCGTCCTTTTCGGCTCCCTGTCTTTGCACATGCTCTCTGCTACTCCCCCACTGAAATGGAGACCTGACTAACTTCTGTTTGTTCTTCAACAATAGCTCAATGTCTTTCTGTTGGAAGCCTTCCCATGTCAAGTGAGATGTGTCCAAGCTGTGCTCCTTCTCTGTGTTTTTACAATACCTGACATTGATCTTTATCGGAGCCCTTTTTCTCACTGAGAGATAATCATAGATTTTGTAGTTTATCTCCTTGAATGGAAGGAACCATGCTCCACTTAGCAAGCAGTCCTGGGGATGAGCAAATGAAGAAAGAATGAACGAATAGACAGCTAAGAAGTCTGACTAACGCTTGTCTATAAAGAGTGGTAAAGTGTAGTTGTTAAAGCATCAACTCTGAGGTCAGAATTACTGATTCAAAATCTTGGTAATTCCACTGGTTGTATGACCTTGGGGAACTACTTTACCTCTCTGTGAATCAGTTTCCCTGTATAAAATAGGGATAATAATAGTATCTACCTCAGTGGGTTGTTGCAAGCATTAAATGGGATCAACAATGCCTGTGAAATGCTTGGCATGGAGCTTGTCTAGTGGTAAATGCTCACTTTCTGCTTCTATTTTGCTACTATTAGATGATATATTAGGCTCCTTAAGGTTGTTAGGCACTTACTGTCCAGTTGTCTATTACTGTATAAGTCAGTGGCTTAAATCGACCATAGCAGTTACTTTGCTCATGGATCTACAATTTGGGCAGGACTCCCTCCCTCCTTTGCTCTTTCCCTCTCTTCTTTCCTTTCAACATCTGTTTCTTTCTTCAAATGTCTATTGACCAGGTATCATGAGAGAACTACAAGGCATTTGTTAGCTGAATGGGATGTTGGAAATTCTTGGCAAGAAGTTGTACTAAGCTGAGGCCAACAAAGGTTGGAAGCTGAACAGACCTGACTTGGAAAAAAGTTGCCTCTTTGCTCTGCTCTAGAAGTCTAAATTACCAAGTTCAAGGAATTGTGTAAAACTCCACTGTGAGTTGGGCTGGTGATGATATCTCTGGGGTCTATCTTGAGGTGGGAGAGGAAGGGCAGGTTATTTCAGATGTGAGTATCTCAGATGTTGTCTAAGTCAGAGGAAGTAGAACCCAGTTCTTTCCCGGGGAGGACCTGGTTGGGCATAGACAAAGTTTGGGACTTTTCCAGTTGGTTGCTGCATGAGATGCTGTTAGGAAACTAGCATGGGGACCAGGATCTCAGGACCAGCCACAAAACCAGTCATGCAGCTTAGTACCAGTAGGTGAGAGTAATAGGGAGGCTACAGCCTGAGGCTCACTCAGATTTTCTTGGTGGAAATGGGTCATGGTTCCTTCTTGGTGGAGATGGGCCATGGCAGCAGAAGATGGTTTTAAGATACGCTCATCAGTGAGTAAGTTGGTCCTGCTAGACATAACACTCAGTGGCTCAGATCTGGGCAAGACTAAGTCCACAGGGAACCAGATGTTGGAAACCCTTGGCTGGTCAGGGCTGGATCAGGCAGATAAACTCCTAGTCTAGTAGGGAACACCGACCCACACGTTATTAAAACACAGCATGACATATGCATGAGTTGGGTTTGCGAGTCTTGACTCATTTGCTCAAATGCAAGTGTCAGCGACTTAGTATAGTGGGAAATTGCTCACTACATTTTCTGAGCTGTGGACTGGGAAGCTGTTGAAAGAGGGAGAAGGGGAAATCCTTGCTCTGTCGCTTTCTCTGTGTGTCTTCCAAGTATGGAGAGAAACCTCGTGTCCAGGGTTCAGCACAGGTTCAGCAATGTCCCCTAGATAGCCCTATGTTTGGCTCCCTTCAGGTCTTTGCCCAAATGTCCCATCTTGGTGAGGGATTCCTGAACCACCTTATTTATCTTTTTTTTTTGTGTGTGAGGAAGACCAGCCCTGAGCTAACATCCGATGCCAATCCTCCTCTTTTTTGCTGAGGAAGACTGGCCCCGGACTAACATCCATGCCCATCTTCCTCCACTTTATATGGGATGCCGCCACGGCGTGGCTTGACAAGTGGTGCGTCGGTGCGTGCCCGGGATCTGAAACGGCAAACCCCGGGCCGCTGCAGCGCTCGCACTTAACCGCTTGTGCCACCGGGCAGGCCCCTGAACCACCTTATTTAAAATTGCCGCCTACCTCCCACCCTGGTTCTCTCTATTCCCCTCCTCTGCATTGCTTTTCTCTATAACTCTTATCGGTAACCCACTTACTATATGTTTTACTCACTTATTTGTTTATCATCTTTTATCCCCATCTAATATGTACACTCCTCAAAAGCAGGGAGTTTCATGTGTTTGTACCCTGCTGTGTCCCCAGTAATGAAAATAATGCTTACCTAATAACAGGCATTTCATAAATACTTGTAGACTCATGGGCTTATTTCATGAAGTGACATCATATAGGGAAAAGAAAAGGGACATAACATATTTCAGGACTTTGAGCAATATAGAGGTTAAAAGTTACAATGCAGGTGAGTGAGGAAAATCCTATTTAGTGAAAACCATTGATAATACCAAAGCTGTTTCTTTTCATAGAGTAAAATAATAAAAGAAGGGAATCTGTCACAAAAGAAGATAAAGCAGAGCATAGTTAAATTTCTCCTTTTGGGGACCTACCTTCAATTGGATCAACCAGCTAATTGAAGCTCTCTGCTTTAGGTCGGCCCTTCCCAGCACAACTCTGCATAAATAAAGCATTCATAGGTCCAGGATAAGCTTACTTTCTGTGAAAAATGATTTGTGTTCATTGTTTGAGTTATAGTCAAGGCTGGGCAAAAGGATACTTACATAATTTGTATTCAGTATTTTCTCTGCATGAAAGACGTTCTGCAAATTTTCCTTCATGAGTTTAGTAAAGATCTATTAAAATAATGTATGTACTTCACACAGTCATCGATAATTAGTAAGCATTCAATATTTAATAGGAAAGAATTATCCGTGTGCCGGAGATTTGCCACCTTTGTGAGGAGGCTGGTTTTCCTTGGAATACCATAAGCATGTGTACCACAATATATTTATTTGCTATCTTAAATTAACTGATTTTATTATAAGGCAAGCAGTAGTTACATGTGTTTAAGAAAGGACAGCTCATTGCTACTCTCTTCCACATTCCACAAAGAAATCTGAACGTTGGCTGTAGCTTGAAAAGGTCCTTCTTGGGTGTTTAATAAAATAGCTGATCTTGTGGGCAATTGTTGTTTTTCACTTGCACCATTTTCTTCCTTCCCAGTGTTCCCAATATCCACTTTGCCACACTTTTCCCTGAAATTTTTCTCTTTAAACTCAACCCTGCAGGTAAGGACTTTTGTAGCACAAACACTTTTTTCATTTTGCTTAACAATAAAATGACAGCATTTCCCTCATCTGTGGATTATGCATCTAAGAGTAGTCTTTAAGAAAAGTACATCAATCTCACTTATGGTTGATCTATTTTAGTATGTGTACGTATGTGTAAACCTGGTGAGTCTATTTTTTTTTTTGAATAGCATTTCTAAGATGTCACACATTTGGATAGCACTTCTCATTTGCCACCGACATCTGTTACATTCCACTTTTTATGTCTGTGACACGGAATTTCCAGGATGCGTAAAAATAGGCGTCAAATTTTCTAAAACTTCGCATGGCCTCTAATGTCTTGTCTACTCTCTCCACCCTCTTCCCTTTCTCTCCCCTCCTCAAAGGGCTGATAGTCTACCTAGGAATGATGGCGGGGGCCTTCGTCCTGGGGGGCCTGGCCGATAAGCTGGGGAGGAAGAGAGTCCTCAGCATGTCTCTGGCCATCAACGCCTCCTTTGCCTCTCTCTCCTCCTTCGTGCAGGGATATGGAGCCTTCCTCTTCTGCCGACTCATCTCAGGCATAGGGTACGTTACTCTTACTCCAGAAAACCTAGGACTGGGTATTTTGTTTGACTTCCAAGATACTGTATTAAAGTTGAAGCTTAGAAAGGGGTTAGGTTATAATGTCATTGTATAAGGTTAAAGTAATCCACCACCATGTTGGCTGGTCTTTCAAATTCACTGAGTTATTTTACCACAGAGCCTAAGACTGGGGTATAAGGCAACCTGGTTTCTGCTATGACCGTTTTTACTGTATGACTTGACTCTTTCTTTTTGGCAATTTTCTCTCTGCAGTAGTGGGGGTGCTCTGCCCATTGTTTTTGCCTATTTTTCTGAATTCTTGTCTCGGGAGAAGCGAGGAGAGCATCTCAGTTGGTTGGGCATCTTCTGGATGACCGGGGGCATCTATGCGTCTGCCATGGCCTGGAGCATCATTCCACACTACGGTGAGTGCACTGGCTTAAAGTAGCCCAGAGGCCCCTGTTTCTATGGCACCCGCATCCAAACAACATTTCCTGTCCTCAGTCTTATTCCCCATACTCACACATAGTTCCTGTGTATGACCTTAATCTTTCTAAAGAACTTCCAACACTGGAGACATGTTGCTAATTTCAATACACATGTCTTTCTGGAAATAACACAGTCTGTCCTCTCTCCCTCCCTCCCTCTCTTCTTTTCTTTTTTCTTTTTTTTTTTTTTTTTAAAGTTTTTATTTATTCATTTTTTTCCCCCCAAAGCCACAGTAGATAGTTGTATGTCATAGGTTCACATCCTTCTAGTTGCTGTACGTGGGACTCGGCCTCGGGTTGGACGGAGAAGTGGTGCCTTGGGGCGTGCCCGGGATCCGAACCCCGGCCGCCAGCATCAGAGCGCGCGCACTTAACCGCTAAGCCACGGAGCCGGCCCTCTTCTTTTCTTTCTTCTTTCCTTTCTTTTATTTGAAAGCATTTCAACCTTCATCTCCTCCAGCCCTCCTCCCCCTGGCAAGTTAGGCTCTGGTAACACCATTTTATAGATGATGTAACAGAAGCCAAGTGAAGTTGGTGACTTGGCCAAGGTCACGCCCCTGGCATGACCTTGAATCCTGATCCCCCCACTCCTCTGCCCCCATGGGGCACTCTTGTACACTTTCCACTCTAGTGCCTGCCCTCACTCTTGTTTGGCTGCAGAAATGAAGCAGTCTTTATAGACAAGGTCTTGATTTCAGCCGGGACAATTTTATTATCCTGGATAATTGCAAAAACTAGATTCTCTGGACAGAGACCTGGCAACATTAACTTTCACAATTGGTTTTGTCAAGAATAAAGTAGGGAGAAGGCAGCAGTTTTGAATTCAATTATGCCTTTTGAGTATCCTGGGCAATACCATCCACATCCATCAAAATCATTTTCTGTGAACCACCGATTATGGGTATAGGCTTTGCCATCATTTAGAATTCTGCAAACAGATAGAGGGTCGCAGACAACTGCCCCTGAAGCTAACCCACACTTCTCTACCCATTCATCCTTGGTGTCCTTGTTTTAAATCTGACCCTCTCTGTGTGTTCTGAGCAAATGGAGTCTCCATGGGTATCTTTTTAAGAAGAAGCTTTGGTGTAGACAATGTCTACCGTATTAGTTAAGGTGATGCTGGGTGCATTATCCTGATAATCTGATAAGCCCTGAAATCTCAGTGATTTAACACAATAGAGGTTTCTCCCTCCTGTAAAGTCTGGCTGATATTTCTGATCTGCAGGTGGCTCTGCTCCATCAGTAATGTCAGGGCTCAGACTCCTTCCAGCGTGTGATTCTGCCATCTTCAACACATGGCTTGGAGGTCTCTCTTGCAGGTCTTTTCCCCTGGTTTGGGGAAACAGCACAGGCATTTGTACGTAGATAGTTATAAAGGGCAGGCTAGGAAGTGGAGCACACCCTCTCTGCTCACATCCCATTGGCCCCAAATCTGTAATATGATTACATCCTCCTGCAAAGGATGCTTGGAAGCATAATCTAGTTATGTGCCCAGAAAGTAGAGGAAATGTGTTTGGGAACATCATGTAATCTTTGCCATATCTAGTATTGGAGAACCCATTGGATTTTATAGTGGAAACAGAGAAGAAATACGAACAGGAATAATGAAATAAAGAGTTGAAGAGTTTTTCAGATAATTCTGTCACCAAAAGCAGATCTCCATAATTATAGATACAAAATTGTATTACTCCTAATATCAGGCTTTGCCCTCTACCCTTCACCCAAACGCATACTTTAATTTTCCATGTACTATGCTGTTGGTTATACCAGGAATTGCCTTTTTTCCCTCACATTCTTGCTATATCATTTCCCCTGTTAACTGATCCAAATGTGTGAACACTAAGAAACTATATCCAAATATAAATTGAGTAAAAAACTTTTTTGGGAAGGGAGGCAAATAAAATCTGACTAGATGCTGAGTCAGAATGGTGGTGCTGTGTGATTTGGGGCAATTCACTCCATCTTGTCCAGCCTTGGTTCCCTCACCTATAAAATGGAGGTGGGAAGGAAGCAAAGAGAATTGACTGTAGTGAAGCATGCCAGCCCTAACATTCAGCAATTCTTGTGATGCAAAGAAGAATGTTGAGAAAATTTTTGAGATGATTCTAGTACTCAGGCTAGCTTCCCTTCCAGCAGTATTGTTAATTCTAGGCCTTCTATTTGTAGACTGCTTATTCCACGACCTCACACCTGACCAATGAGCAAAGGTCTTTGGCTTCCCTCTGATTGGATCAGCTTAGGTCATGTGCCCACCTCAGCCAATCACTATACCCTAGAGGATGCCAGATCCTGAATGGTTTCCATATACTTCCTTCCTCATCCCTGGCACTGGGGGTGGTGTCAGTCCCACCCAAACCACATGTGTGTAACACAGTGGAGAAGGAAGAACAGGAGAGATGTGGTGAGGGGAGCAACCCACAATAGTCACTACAAACTGCATAATTATTTCACCTCACCCTACACCCACAGACACACGCCAGTGTCTGAGTGTCTGGTTTCTAAGAAAGCAATAAAAGAATTCAGGTTGGGAGCATGTTGACCAAGAGGAATGGGATGCCCATGGCAGAGGGGCCACATGGCTGCTGGCTGACCACTGCCGGCTGACAGAAGGGCTTGTGGTTAAAGTTTTACCCAAATGGACAGGATGTCTTCGTATTTGTATGCCTGTATCAAATCTGTGACTTTTACATTCCATTTTAAAATACAAGCCTCTTGGATAGTTGGGCTTCGTGGAAACAGGTGTTAGCTTGGGAGAAACCCATCCTAGAAATATGGTGGACCAGAATCACAGTATAACAGGAGTGATTATTTATTTTAAGCCTCATTTTACCAGAACCAGATGTTTGGTCCACAGTGAACCAGACATTTGACAGTATTTCTCAACATGCCTAAGACGTAATCCTCTAACACCCCCTCTGCTCAGCAGGGACAAATGCAAGGGTAACTACAGAAAGGAGACTGATGTTGTGCAAGGCTTGCACAACCCATTTAATTGCTTTTGCAGGAATGAAGTGATGGGAGGTCTTGGCATCAGTAATTTGGGAGACTGAGTCATTGAGAAAGAAAATTACAAAACTCAGAGTGTTTTCCTGGGAACTCATGGGCACAGCCTGGAAAAAATGGATATATTATGGAAGATTAATTCCCATTGTAGTCAGACTCACCAGCTGTTTGTGAAATCCTGATGGAGAAAAGCAGGGCGAGCTAAAAGATCACTGAACAGAACAATCCCTATCTCCAAATTAATAGTTGCTCCATATATTTGAAAGCACTTCGCTGTTTAATTTTATTTAATTTAAGGCCCCAAAGATGTGCCTAATGAATACGATAAGCGCAGATTACTAAAATCACCATAAAAACCATAGAGGCATGAGAGAATAATGGATTTTGGATAATTTAGACCTATTATCATAAAGAAAAAGTCTTTCTGAGGCAGAATACATTATAAACATACCTATTCTGCCCCTCTTCCCTCATTATCCACCTGAGTTTGACTGCTATGTGGCTTTGATCAACTTTACTTCTAATTATGCCAGAATAGTTTTTGGATCTGAGCTGGGAATGTGTAAATATTACTATGCTTTTATGTTCCTCATTCGAGTGTCACTCCCAGGAGAAAGGAAAGGCTTTTTTAATTAAAATTAAATGAACAAACAGACCCCAGTGAGATGGAAAGGAGAAGAGACCATGCTGTGCAAAAAGAGATTAGATCCTGATGGAGAACGTTGGATGACGTGTGTGGTGTGTTCTGTGGCCATGTGTCAAAGCGGCCAGAGTCCCACATTTTCCCACCTGGAATTCCCTCCAGCTGGTCCTTTCACTGTGCAAATGGAACAAGAAATATCTGCAGAAACAGCAGATATTGGTTAAGAGTCCACTGCAAGTAGAACAAATTGAACTGCAATGGAGAGTAATAGAGAATTCAAGACGTAAGCTGCCCACCTCTGGAGTTGGCCATATGGTATATTTTTAAGTAAATGGAATAGAGATTTTACTTTCCAATAATGATTACCATTTGAGCTTTAGAAATCAATATATTTATTTGTATGGTTTTATCTTTTTAACAAATGCTATTGGAATTGTCTTCAGAGATACTTGTAGCTGCATGAGAAAATCAGTCTCTTTATTTTATAACCTTGGCTTTTTTTTAAAAGAAAACACACAGTTCTTTTGCTGACCTTTCCTGATATTCATCTATTTTACTCAACATCCTTGGCACTAAATGTCGTGGAGCTATTTCTAAAAAAATCAAATCTACCCTCAAAGCAGGTGAATTATTATTGGTTGCCGGGAGGTTTTGCACGTGGCAAATCTGTGGCGGTATCATTCCCTGCATTCTGCAGCTGTGAAAACACACCAACACACTAACGGTGTGAGAAAGCCAGGATTTGCAAATGTCCAGGCTCTTTCCACTGTGTTTCTTAAAAGACGGAAGTTTGCTACCCGTGAGGATATTCAAAATAATGTTTTGTAGATCCTGAAGCCAGTTTCTGAAAATGAATCTTAGAAATGCTTTGAATAATGACACCCGAGTAGCAGCTAGCCACCTCCCCATTCGATGATGGTAGAATTCATTTGAATATGGAAGTTCAGTTTCTTTAAAATGAAATTTAATATTATAGCTGACAGTGTTTTTCAAAGTATGCTCCTGAACCCTGTGCACTGGATCACCAGGAGCTGGTATTACCCTTTGACCTGGCTAAGAGGGATCCCCGAGTGAAACCCTGGGTCATGTAGGGCCCTTCTCTGCTTTCCTCCAGCCACACCCCTTCGCATGAGGCAAGGGGTCCCTGAAGCCGTGACCACCCCTCCATCCAGATCAGCCTCTGGGTGCTTAAGACCAGGAATTCCCACTAAACTCAAGGGATCACGACAAGGACGTCCATTCTCACCACGGTAGTGTGAGCGTGTGTCCACACGTGTCACATGGGGCCCCTCACTCTGCAGGAGGGGCCAGGGGAGGGAAAAGAAGGGGTTCCTGCTAGGGTGGGTTCTGGGCCTGGCCTTCCAGCTCCTTATTTGTCAAGGCAGGGGGATAGAACATCTGTTATGTAACAGCTTGTTAACTTAAATTTTACTGAATATATAGAAATATGACACGTTGCCTCTATCTGTACTCCTACCTGAGGTTCTGTAAATGTCAGGCCAGGCCTACCTATGGATTGTCGAGATGCAGATTCCCAGCACCTATCCTCGACATCAGAATCAGAAGCTTTGGGGGCACAACCGGGGAGTCTGCATGTTAACCTGCTCCCCTGGCAATGCTCTTGTGCCCTCCAGTTTGAAAGCCAGTATCTTTAATGTCACTCTAAGATGGCGTGTTTGAAATCCTCTGACTGCTTCTTCACAGGCTGGGGCTTCAGCATGGGCACCAATTACCACTTCCACAGCTGGAGAGTGTTTGTCATCGTCTGCGCTCTGCCCTGCACCGTGTCCATGGTGGCCCTGAGGTTCATGCCAGAGAGCCCAAGGTTTCTGCTAGAGGTGAGCCAGTGCCCCCGCCCCCATCCCCGCATGAGAGTGATGGGACTGTGACAGGAGCTAGCCCTGCTTTCTCAGCCTCTTAGTCCTACCTCCTCTCCTGCTTGCAAACCCCCCATGTTGGCTGACCTGGGCCATCTTTAAGTCTGGCTCCACTGCTGCTTGTGATGGTTACATGCCCTGGATTCACGGGCTGTCAGAGCAGGCGGGGCTCAGGAGCAAACTGAGTGCAGAGTGGCAGGACTATTCCCTGCGCCTGGGGGGAGGTGGACGGGGCCCTCCTGAGGCTGCTTCTGGCACCCATTCTCTCCAGAGGGCCCAATGATAAGGCTCTTCAAAGCTGCGTGACATTTTTCCATGTTGTGACAGTGAGATCTGTGGTAAAGCTGGTCACTGCTGCCAAGCCCTTCAGGGCTCTCACTATGCAGGACCCCCTCCCCACCAGAAAGCTGCAGCCAGTGTCCTGAGGGATGGGTCCTAGGAGCTTCCAACTTGGGGGGCCTCTCTTGCTTGCAGTGGTCGGACGGGGTGGGGCTGGCGGAGGGACAATAGGACTTGCAGGCTCTTATAGCCCCAAATCTCAGAGTCCCCCTATGTGCTCCTGCTAGAGCTTTCTGCAGAGTGATCCTCTTTGTGGAATTTCTTCTTTCATCCCATTGATCAGGGGGCAGATGCAGCAGGAAATTGTTTTAACCAGGGATATCCCAAAAGTTGCCCTTTGTTGTATATCAGTTTCCCAGGGCTGCTGTAACACAGAACCACAAACTGGGTGGCTCAGAGTAACATCAATTTATTGGCTCAGAGTTCTGGAGGCTAGAAGTCCCAAATCAAGATGTCGGCAAGGCCATACTCCCTCGAAAGCCTGTAGGGAACTCCTTCCCTCCTCTTCCAGCTTCTGGTGGTTTGCCCTCAGTTTTTGGTGTTCCTTGGCTCGCAGCTGCATCACTCCAATCCCCACCTTTGTCTCCACATGCCTTCTCCCTGGATGTCTCTGCAACTTCACATGGCCGTCTTCTTATACGGGCACGAGTCATATTGAAATAAGGCATACTCTACTCCAGTAGGACCTCATCTTAATGTAATTAGTTCCATCTGTAGCAACCCTATTTCCAAATAAGGTCAAATTCTGAGGTACTTGGGGTTAGGACTTCAACATATCTTCTTTTGGGGGGACACAGTTTAGTCCATAACATGTTGCCTCTTTGCTTTATCTTGTTAGTGAGGACCATGGCTCCCACCCAGCAGTCCATCCAACCTTACAACTAAGAGTAGTCACTCGTAATGTGTGATGATAATGATACCTAGTGTTTACACCTTGAAGGCACAGCCTCACTATCCTTCCAAGGTGGGCTTGGGACAGAAACTTGTCCTCGTCTTTCACAAGCCCTAGACAGTAATGACTCCATGTCCAATCGTCACAGGCTCCCTTGGGTTTTTATGGTTTTCTGCCTCTAAACAGCAGTGGATTTTTCATGTCTCTTTCCTTGGTTTTACCAGATGGGCAAACATGACGAAGCCTGGATGATTCTCAAGCAAGTGCATGACACCAACATGAGGGCTAAGGGGGCCCCGGAGAAGGTGTTCACGGTGAGTGTGTGGTCACCTGTGCCAGCAAAAGGGGCCTCTCCTCTTTACTGTTTTGGTTTGCTAAAAATAATTTTATTATGTAAGCACATCACAGAAAATTTGTCAAAAGGAGACTGAAACCCCTGACATTCTTATTACCATGTCATAATTATTCTTTGCATTTTGATCGATATCCTTCTCGGTATCACTAATTGTTAAAAAACAACAGAAAAAACTAGCTGTATTCATGTGGGGGTAAACATATGTACATATATTTACATATACATATTATTTAAGAGTACTCATAAGCATTTTATATGTTGCCTCCTAGTGTCCATAACCATCCTTTTAATGAACAGTTACGTTAGGACCATTAACCCATGTCCCTAATGTTAGAGATTTATTTACCCTGTTTTATGACTTTGTTCCTGTAAATATTGCTGCAATGAACCTTCTCATATACATAGTTCCTTCCCCTTCATGTTCTGGGTTTGTTTTCTAAGAGTAGATTCCTAGAAATAAAATGACTGGCTCAAAGAGCATGAGTATTTATAGCTCTTGAGATATATTGCCAAATTACCTTTCCGTAGGGCTGTACCAATCTACAATGCCACGAGCAACAGGATAACTGTTTCTCTGTACCTTACCAGCATTGGCTGAATTTTGTTTCTTGCTAGTTCAAAATGTAAAACACTAGCAAATGGTAATTTCCATGAAGCTGTCCTGTTAGTTACTGGGATCTGTGCTCCTCCCCCACTGAGCTCTGTGGCCAATGAGGAGGAGTGCCTGCTGCAGGCATCTCTGTGCACCTGTTTGCATAACTTCCTTTCAGACCAACTTCCCATCTATTTCCCCGAGGAAGCCTTGCTGGGTTAACGCTCACCTACTCCCACTCACTGCTTTGGCTTCTTTGGCTTCCATAATTTGAGTCTGGAGTAAAACACTTGTTCTTCTTAAGCTGTTGCTTAAATCCTCTGATTCTCAGGCAGGACCACATGGCAGCTAAGAATCTGCAACCTGGAGCCAGACAGTCTGGGTCCAAATCCCACTTTTGACACTTTCTAGCTGTGTGGCCTTAGGCAAGGTACTCTCTCTGCCTCAATTTCTTATTGGGTAAAGAGGGATAATAATATCTATAAATATGGTTATGGTAAAGATTAAATAAAGCACCTAAAACAGTGCCTGCCTTGGAGTAAGGACTACATAGATCTTAACTATTATTCAAAAATATCATGACATATGTTTTCGTAAATTAACCCAAATAATAAATTTTATGGAGAGCTGTTCAATGGCATATTTACCCAATTCCAATGCTCCTAAAATTAGCCAAAATATGGGACCAGTGCTTTTATCACAAACATTTGTTAAGAAGCACAATTAACAGAAATACTCCAAATGAAAGATGTTAAAGGCGTAGATGGCTCTCCCAACCCCCTATCCCCATCACTCCCTGTGATGGATTGTAGTGCTGCAGCTGGACTGCAGGTGTGGACCCCAGATGTTAGTGGGGGCTCCCTGGCCACTGGGATCTGGGTGTGATTGGCTCAGTCCTGCCCCCCACACCCCTACCCATTCCATAGCCTGCTCTCCAAGCTCCTGCCTATTCCTGGGAGATGTTTTCATGGTCTTCTGTCTCTGACTCCAGCCTCTGAATCCACATTGTCTGGATTGGTTTTTGTACCACATCAACCTGGTATGAAACACACACACACACGCACACACACACAGACTATACAGATACACAGACACAGAGACACACAAACACATAGACACATGCACACTCACACAGGCATACAGACATACAGACACACACATATACAGACATACACAAACACATACAGACATAGACACACAGAGACACACACAAACGCAGACACAGATGCACACACTCAGACTCATACACACACACAGGTGCTCTCACACACACACACACACACACACACACATATATAAAGACATACATAGACACACATCAGCCATACCAAGCATTTGTGAGTTTAATAACCTTACTGAAAATTTGAGGATAACAAAGGAATTACCTCACAGAATACACAGCCTTCTCCTTTACTCCTTGCCCCATCCTCCTCCTCTTTAATCTCCCTCTCTTTTCCCCTGTCCTCTCTCTAATCTTCTCCCTCTGGAATAAAACAAATTCTCCTTGGCTCATGCACAGGTTGTTACTGGTCTTTCAAGTTTGAGCAGTGTCTCCCTGGGATTCTCCCACACAGAAGTTCATTAACATATTTATTCCAAACAAGCCCAGAGCTCTCCTAAGAGGGGTCCTGATGCATAGATTACTCTCCACCTCACTTGCGTGTCTGTCCCTGCCTTCCCCAGGTGACTGTAAACCCTTCCCGCCCCGCCTCCCCACTCCAGTGTGGTACCTAACACACAATGGTTTTCCTAATATTGCTTCTGGAAGGAGCACTTCTAAACCAGCCACGTGGGCTTGCCTGACTGCGAGCCCCTTTCTAGAGAAGTGATCCCACATTCTCTATTAACAACTCATTCTAACGTAAGCAGCCTAATTTTGAGGAATGAAATGCTAGCCTGGAAATCAGTAAAAACTCCAATTTCCAAAGGCAAAAGCAAAGCCTTTTACTTCAGGACCAGAGTCCCTCATTTCAGGGGTGGGAGTTCATCCCCATGAAGAGAGTTCAGGCAGGAATCAATGAGCAGGGGGCTATGAAACACTGGCATTTTGTCTTATCCCAACACCCATGCTAGTTACCGAGTTCTTAGGCATAACCTCTGCTTTTAGTGGTTTTCACCCAAGAGGAAAGGAAATAAAAAAAGTGGGCTCAGTATTCCATACTGACTTGGTGACCATGTTAACTATGTAGAAGTGGATGACTGGATGGGCCAGAGAAAAAGAAAAGAAAAGAAACGACCAGAAAGTGTCAACTGATCTCAGAGAGCTGGCCTGTGGCTGGCAGTCAGGAGTGAATACTCAGCCCCCCGGATGGGGTTTCCTGCCTTTTTCCTGTGTGCTACCCCCATAACTATTCTGAGCAGCCTGGGGGAGGAGCTCAGGGCAGGTCAGGCTCTCGGTTGGTATTCACGGTGAGCACCAGATGCTGCCCTCCTCACTCTCACCTTTGAGCTGATGGGGTTCACATCATGCTACCCCAGAATATGGCACCTTGGCATATTGAATATCTTAAGCTGAAGGGATTTGAGAAAACAACAGAATCAGGAAAGTCACTCTGACCTCCCCCTGCTTGCCCAGGTCCTAAATCTCCCGTGTGAAAGGTACCTTCCCTGTACCAGGAGGAAAGAAGACGTTCTTATCACGAGAGACAGGGAATTTAGGGCCGGGAAGGCTGTGTAAACAAACTTTGTTAAACTAACCCTTATCGTCCTAGTTACTTCTTCACTATTTACTACCCCTAGCCCAAACCCCTTTGTCACGTCAATTCTTCACAAATTTGTTGTTTCTTTGTTTAAAATGTGTGAAAGTCTCTTGCTCTGGTCAGTTCTTCGAGTCTTCATTCTCTTGTGAAAGCTCCCACGGACATGTACAAATTCAATAAAACATATATATACTTTTCTTCTATTAATCTGTCTTTGTCAGTTTAATTTTCAGACCCAGTCAGGGACCTTAAAAGGGTCAAGGAAAACTTTTTCCTCCCCTGCAGAGCCCTAGTTTTCACCAACCTCATTCACTGCTTCACAAGCTTCTAACTGCCAGGTGGCAGTGTCCCCTGTGAAACGTTTGGAAGGGGAGAGTGTTGCAGGATTCCCCTCAGAACCAGTGTTCTGCAGGGCTGGGTGAACACAGGCCATATTCTAATTTAGACTGAATCAAAGACAAGTATCTTGGTTAATTGTAAATTAGAGTAATTGTGCTTGAAGTTGTCAACACACCCACTCCCAAATCCCTAGGGAATGGGGTGTTATTTCCCTAGGAGCAAAGAAAAGAAAAATTTGCATTTGAGTGGCTATCTTAATGCTTTGGAGTGTGATTTTTAAGGTGTGTCCTGATTTGGGTGAACCTTCCCTATGGCCTCCTCTGGCTGCAGCTAGAGTTCGTGGTTCCCTGGGATATCTGAGGATGAGAAGCCCAACTCCAGCCAAGAGTTCTGTGCAGGGCTTGCTGTTTTGGCTCTCATATGTCCCTGTCTGAGCCCAGGCAGAAGAGCATTTGCAGAGCCAACACACCTGGGACGGTAGGACGCGCCCAGGAGGCTCTCAGCATGCTTATGTACCTGCAGTTTCAGGAAAAGCACCTGTGCTTTTACCAGATTCTCAAAGGGGCACCTGGCCCCCATGAGATTTTAAGAACCACTGTTTTTAGGGTTCAGAAGAGCACAGCCAAGTCATCCTAGGCCTAGCGCTCTGGAATTAATGAGTCAATCTTCCATAATCCAGGGACGGTTTTTTTCTTTGTGGATTTTCCAGTGTCATCTCTATTTCTCCTCCTTTGTCTCCTCACATTCTCAGTCCTTTGGCTGAAGAAGGAGATGGAGACACTCCTATGACTAAAGCCATTTATCCAGAAACAAAAAGTTTGTTGGAGGAGGCGATGGAAGCTTTTTGAATTTTTTTTTGAGTATGCGCTTCCATTTTCCTCTGAATAGGTCTGCAAGCATGGACCTTGGTAACTTGGCTAAAAGGGTTTTTACAGTCAGGAATCTCCTTAAAATGATGGTTAGTGGTAGAATTCAGTGGTTGCTTTAAACATCGATTAACTTGAAAATCAGTGTCTTGGTGAGTCAGGATTGCTCATTGGGGCTACCTGCTGACACTGGTGAAATCGACACTTTCCAGGGCCTTTGAGGGGGGCGCTGAGATGTACAACCTTATCCCCACTCCCTCTATCTTTGATTTCCACCAGGAAAACCAGAGACAGCAAGGAGGGACATCGTTTCTTTTATTCTGTTGTATTTTTAAAATATCTTATATAGCAACCTCTACTCCTTCCCTCCCATTGCCTACATGGGATCTAGACTTCTGTAATGTCAATACCCATTAAGGACAGACTTATGAATTTTAAGGTGGAGTCAACTCTACTGTAGGCAAATCAAATATAAATGGGAATTCAGTGTATTATGGTCCACTAATTTCCCAAAGACTGATTTTTGTCTGCAGTGAAGACTGATTCATTTTGTCTACAGTGGGACAAAGATCCCTAAGAGATGCTGTGTACATTTTTGCTTAAGAATCACTGAATGAGAAGGTCACCAAAGGCTCCTCTAGCCCTCAATAAGTTAGTAAAGTCAGTTACATTAAACTAAAAATTAAAAAGTCTGACACAGAATGGGTTAAGATTCTCTCACCCATCTTTGCTTTACAGGTTTCCAACATCAAAACTCCCAAGCAAATGGATGAATTCATTGAGATCCAAAGTTCAACAGGAACTTGGTACCAGCGCTGGCTGGTCAGATTTAAGACCACTTTCAAGCAGGTATGATTGGGGACATGTGGTGGATGAGAGGGCGGCTCTGTGGAAATCTGTAACCTCAGTGGATAAAGAATAAAGACCCTGGACACCCTGTCAACCCCAGGCAGTGTGGCGGGGAGGAGGCACCCCTGGATGGGGATGTTTGGATCCTAGCCCAGGCCTACCTCTCACTCGCAGTGTGCCTTGAGCAACTACCTCTCTAAACCTTAGTTTCTTTTCTTTGCTCTTCCTTCCCAAGGCAGAGATTTTTTAATGTAGAGAAAACGTCAAGTCTGAGTAGATATCCTTCTCTCCAGCAATTTTTCTTTAAAGAATCCATAGGAAGAAAGGAGGTAGTGAAAGAAATGACCCTTTGAGGTTGTGCTAGTAATTTCTGAGAACATCTTCATGAAGGGCAAGGCCACTTCTCTGGAGAAGTGGCTCCTACAGGCAAGTCAGCTGTTGAGCACTGAGGCAGCCGATGGCCAGAGTCTTCCAAGACTGGATGACTTTTGTGGTGTATGGTCATTAAATGTTGGATTATCACCCGTCCCTGTCCCCACAGGCAGGGAGCAGAACTCATTACTCAGGATTATTCAGTGCCTTGAAATCCCCAGTCTGTGCTTTTGATCACATGCATGGAATATTGTTGTGTTTCCAGGGAAGATGCTACAAGACTGTTAGAGGTTGAGGCCAGCCAGTAAGAGGAGAAGAGACTTTCCTTGTTGTTTGAACAGAATTGCCACCTCTGGGAGATAATCCTTGTCCATTCTCTCCATGGGTTCCTAGGCAACTTATTAGAAAATCTTAGAAATGAGCTCTGCCAAGTCACAAGTTCCTTTAACAACCCTTCTCTGGTATGGGTTATAGGTGTGGGATAATGCTCTGTACTGTGTGATGGGGCCCTACAGGATGAACACGCTGATTCTGGCCGTGGTATGGTTCACTATGGCTTTAAGGTAAGTTCTGTCTTAAGTTCATTCATTCTCCTGTGCCTCGGGTGCATCATCTATAAATTGAGGATTATAATTAGTTCTAACTCATAGAGGCTGTATCAGATTGGATGCTTTTGGCTGCAAGTAACAGGCAACTCACTCTAGTGGCTTCTACAATGAGAAAATTTCTTATCCTTTGGAATAAAGATTCTGTAGAGAAGTAGGCTCCTGGAGGAGTTTCAGCCTCAGGCTGGTTCTCACCTGCTTGCAAGATGCCTGCATTGCTCTTGGCGTCCTGCCAAGGGACATGGGCGAATGACCCAAGGAGGAAGAGGCTGCCTCTCTGAGATTCCCTTTTTAACAGCGAGGAAATCTTTCTCAGGATCCTCCCAGCAGACTTTCCCCATTATATTAGCCAGATGTGTGTCACATGCATAGGGCTAAACTAATCACTAGTGAAGGAGATGTGTGGTCTCTCAGTGATTTGAGGCTAAACGGGATTTGCCTCTGAGCTGAAGGTAACTTTAGCTTTCCTGGGAGTTGATACTTGAACAAAATCAAGTTTCTGTTCCCAAGGAAGAAGCAAGGAATGAATGCTGAGTAGGCAGCCATCAGTGTCACTGTGAATATTAAATAGATAAAACAGTGAAACTGCAATAGTGTGCCCTACAATAAAGACAACTAAATATACTGTGATAGGTGGTTAGCTGGCTCCTCACTCAAACAGCAGGCTCTCACCTTGGTAATTTCATTCACCTCCAAATAACTTGACCCTTCTCTCTATGCAAATTTTGGGGCTCACTGGCAGCATTATGAGGCTTTTTTTTTTACTGTGTATATATAAAGTGCTTGCCGTAGTTTCTGGCACATAATAAGTGCTCAATAAATTGCTATTATCAATTAGGAACTTTGAGCGAGATTTTAAACTTCCATCTATGAAATTGCTTTGTTCGCCACTGGCCGTGCCCAAAGGCACACTCCCTCGACCCAGGAAAGTAAATTGGCTCCAGTGACCTCTTTGATTATGGGAGGAACATGGGGAGACCCACTTTCTTCCAGTAGCTTATCAAATTCCTACCAATACCTATTCATGGAGACCCAAACAGGTAAATGTAGAGAGGAAGCTGGACCCTGCTCCCCTCCACCTGTTCCAGCTAAACTAGGAGAGGACATTTCAGAAGCCAAAGATGGTAGACTCTAGGATTCAATTCACTGGTAGTTTTCAAATCTGTTTTACTTGTGTTTAATTTAATTTTATTGAATAGGTAATGCATTTCAAATGTTGAAACAGAGAAATCTTGCACCCACCCCTTCCCCCTCTACCCATTCCATTCTGCCTCCTTTTTGTAATTATCTTTTATTTTCCTGTTCATCATTCCAGTGTTTCCTTTTGCCAATTCAAGCACACACATACACACACACACACACACACACACACACACACACACACACACACATATATATATATGCTTACATGCTTATTTCTTCCTTATTTTCTTATTCAAAGGAACACATTGTTTTGCATCTGCTTTTTGAACTCGACAATGTATTCTGGAGATCTCTCGTACTAGTAAATTGAGATTTTCCTCATTCTTCTTCACAGCGGCATAGTATGTCTGCCTAGCACTCCACAGTACAGTAACACGCTTATTCACTCAGGGTCTTATTGCTAGACTCTTGGGAAGTTTTCAGACTTCTGCTGTTACAAACAATGCTACAATGAGTAACTGTGTTTGTGGGCTCCTTTTTATTGGGCAAGTTTTTCAGTGGAATAGATTCCTAGAAATGGGATTATGGAGTCAAAGGGGGTAAATCCATCAGTAATTTTTTTAGACATCGACCAGTTCTCCTCTATATGGTAGTGTATAATTTTGCCCTTTTCCCAGCAATGCATGAGAGCACCTGTTTACTTACAGCCTCACAACAGAGTGTTTTGGCAAACTTTGGGGTTTCGACAATCTGGTAGGCCAGAATGGTAACAGTGTGGTTTTAACTTCCATTTTTCCAATGACTGCGATTGAGCATCTTTTTTATATGTTTAATGGCCATTATCTTGAGTTTTCCAGGTATAAAATCATATCATCTGCAAATAGATAGTTTTAACTCTTCCTTTGCAATTTTATATTCCTATGTTCTTTCTCTTGTCTAGCTGAGGTGGCTAAGACCTACATTATAGTGTTAAATAGTAGTGGTGATAATGACTATCCTGGTCTTGTTCTGGACGTCAGTGGGAATGTCTTTAGTGTTTCCCTATTTGTTAAGATTCTGCCTTTTGAGCTGAGATATGTATTTTCTTACATGTTAAGGAAGTGTTCATCAATTCCCAATCTATTGGTGTTTTTTTTAATCAGGAATGAATGTTGTTGTTTTTTATCAAATGCCTTTTAAGCATCTATGGAGATATCATGACTTTTTTCCTTAGATCTGTTAATGTGATGAGTTATATTATTAGATTTTCTAATAATGAACCATGTTAATACATTTAAATGGAGTTTGATCTACATCAAGTCAGGAATGTAGACTCTGATCATGAAAGAATAAAGCATGTTGCTGCTTGAATATTCTGACTTTTCTATTGCAGCTACTATGGACTGACAGTTTGGTTCCCTGATATGATCCGGTATTTTCAAGATGAGGACTACAAGTCCAAAATGAAGGTATTTTTCGGTGAGCATGTGTATGGTGCCACCATCAACTTCACGATGGAAAATCAGATTCACCAACATGGGAAACTGGTGAATGACAAGTAAGTGAGAGACACAGGCTTTCCCCAGATCAGGGTGACAGTCCTGGGGAGTATTCTTGGGAGAGAGCCATTGAAAAGATAGGAATTCAATATGGCGGGGATCTCTAAGGCTGTTGCAATATCACAACTTATCCTGGCTGCCAGAGACACAACAATTCCCCCGGGTGACTCTGTCTGTATTGTGCTGGGTCCCAGTTCTCCCTAATCTGGCTGTAACTGATTCATTCAAGGATGGAGACATTTGACTGAGGAGCGTCAGTCAGACTATCTTTCCTGAGACCTCGCACCTTTGATGGAGATGCACAGAGAGCTGCGGCCCCTTAATGGTGCCTGCCTGGAGAGAGGGCCCAGAGCTCTCATTGCTGAGGTCCCTGCAGCAACCCATGGCCTGGTTGTTGACCTTTTTCTTTGATTCTGGAAGCCTTCTCCAGGCCAAGGCTAACACGATACTATCTATGTTATTCTTTCACCTAATATTTACCTCCGAGTGTTGGTTAGCATGGCCCAGCGTCATCAAGAGTGTCGTTGTCTTTTGAGAGAAGAATGAGTGGAGTATAAGAAAAGTCCTGCCCACATCTTTTTGGGCTGCTTCCTCAATCTGTTTGACTTCTGCTCTTTCTCCTCCTGAGACAAATGAGATGGACAGTCCAGCCCATTGGGCTTTAAGAATGCCTCTTTGAAGCTGCCTTCTGTAGCCCCCCAAATGGGTCAGGGCAGGACATTAAAGTTTACCCCAGGCTACATTATTCACTAAGCTGAGCATTTACTCCTCTGCTGTTTCCCTTCTTGAATTGTACTTAGCAAGCTCATAGGGTCAGGCTGCGTGGTGGCACCAGAAATGCTGTGGCTCAGATAGTTCAGTGATATAAACTGCTCCATATTTACCACCTGTAAATGTGGTGTACAAGAATTAACACCATGAATTCTCTCCTCCAGTGCATAGTCTACCTCCCCTACCCACACCCACCTATGTGACCAAGTGCAGTGGCCCTCGGGTGACTGTTAGCCACTTGGGAAAGGAGTGTATGTCTGGGTGAAGTCTAAGGAGGATGCCTTCTGCATTCGAGTCCATATGGCTCTTACAGGCCAGACTTTAGCAAACATTTGCTGTTATTTAGGATGAGAAAGAAAGTGTGAAAGGAAAGGGGAATATTATTTCTACAAATATGAGAACTTTGGAAAGGATGGTTAGGACCAACTATCAGTGGACGTGGAATTCAGATTTTCAGATGATTGTTTTTAATGCAGAAGCTCAGTCACAAACATATACACATTCGCGTGCCCAAGCGTGCACACACCCTCTGTGGAGACACTCCAGAGTCACTGTGATCTGCTGAGAGTGGCCACTGCGGGGATGATGGCTCCAAAGCCAGTGGTGGTAGATGCAGGCTCCCCAGCCTTTCTCACTCTAGCGCTCTTTGATATGAGTCAAGAAATCTTGTGTTGGCATTGCCAAGGAAGAAATGGTGCCCTTGCTTTATCAGAACACTTGGGAAATGTTGAAAACTAAGAAACATTACAGATGGCTAGGTGTCACCCACACTATGACACCATTCCCTGCAGAGACAAATTCACTAAAAGACAACTATTTATGAAGTTCCCATTGTTCAATGATACTCTATTGTGATATTAGTAATAATAATGATAGTAATGACATTGATAATAAGGCCTATAATAATAACTGTGGTGGCCAACATTATCGAGCATTTCTATGTGCCTGGTGCTGCCTTAAATGCATAGATTATTTCATTTAATCCTCACAAAAACTTTAAGAGGCAAGAAATATGCTTTCTGTCTTACAGGTGGGGAAACAGAAGCTTAGAGAGGTTGAGTCACTTGCTCAAGATCATATGCCCAACATAAATAGAAATGTCTCTCTCCCAACCCAGGCATTCGGACTCCAATCCCGTACCCTTGATAACTACTAATATTGTCTCACTGGGAAACTCTCCATTCCCAGAGGCCCTGTTTTACATGGTGTTTTCTGCATTAAAAAGTTAATTGCAATGCCAGAGCCCTTGAGATTTATAACAGGCTGGTTTTGGAGTTCTAAGACTTAGCTATGCAGAAAATGGGAACTTTTGGTCAACTCGATTCTTTTAACTTTTCTCAGCCTCCTGAAGTTTCAACAAGCTGCTGGGTGGAGTGAGGAGGAAGAAAGGGTTTGTGAAAGCTGTAGTCCCATCTTGTGGACCCAGGACCCCAGGGGACGGTAGAGTTATTGCCAAGGGTCTGGGGATGCCTAGGCATCCATGGATTGTCTGGGAGTGGATGTAAACATTCTGCACACACGCATGTTCTACCATGTTTCTGTTTTAAGGGCATGTGGCTGTTTTTGTGATTATTAAAATATAAATTCCTTCAAAAGTTACAATGAATTGATTTTAACTTGTTATATATATATATGTTTTTTAACCAACGAATACTAAAAGTACAACCACTATCACTTGAAGCCCGTAATCTTCCCCTGCCCTGCCCCGCCCCCTTCTCCCCCTAACAAATTTTTTGAATAAAGGGGGTGTTTTTCTCCTTGGAAGATAGGAACCTTTGAAACTGATCTAAAGAGTGAAAGAACCTGGTTTCTTTTCTTGAATTATGCTGCCATCTGCTGGTCCTCTGCTAGGAAACACCTCATCTTTGAAAACCCCAAGGCTCTTTGCAGAGTTACACTGTTGTTCTTTAGTTGAGTGGAGCATTTCTTCCATTCGCACCGGTCTTCCTCCTTTGACTTTATCTACACTTCGCTGATTTAAAATTTAGATGGAAATTATTTACTTTATTGACTACCACACATGGGGGAAAATGACTTTTGTGTAAACAGGGCTTCAGACCTCACCCACCGGCTCTGTCAATAAAAGAGATCCTCTTGAAACCTAAACTTCATTCTGCTGTACAACCAATCTCTTTGGCCCCAAGAAGCAACAACAGTACACAGATTAGTTTTGGCCTGCTCCCCGAGCACCATCTGCAGCCTCCTGGTGCATCTTATGGGATCGGGTGGCTCCGAGTTCTCACACTGCTTTTGCTTCAGAATTCGTGAGTTTTTGGAAAATGCAAGAAAGACAAAAGAAGTTCATGTTTTAAACCCTGAGACGAAATATCGGGCCAGGCTTCTCTTACTGTTAATTAAAAACAGGGTAGCTTTTCATCCCAGAGTATGTATAAACTAATTAATTAATTAACTTACCCTCTCAGCTCTCCTTGGCAGGGCTCATGACTGTGACAGTTAGGATGGGGAAGGGGATTATCTGATTTAAACCTTGTTGGACATCAGGGAGATGTGCCTGACTCCTGTTTGTGATGGGTCATGATCCAGGAAGTGATGTTATAATCTCTCATTTTCCTCACTGCTAAAAGGAAGTTGATGCTGTGTTCTACTCAGGGCTGCAACCTCAAATGGGAAAGAGCGGTATTCACACAAGACAAATGGCCAGTGAAAAATAGGAGAAAAGCTCTCCTGAGTTCTTCTTGAAGGTCAGGGGTGAATAGCTCAGAATGAGAATGAAACTTGCCAGATTTAACTCTAAAATGAGGTGTGTAGTATAGTAGGAGGTGAGGAGAGCAGAGAGGGAAAGAAGGCAAACACACATCTAGAAAAGAGAAGAAGGTTGATTTCAGGCATCACACCGAAATGTTGCCCTCACTGTTGAAGGCTCCTTTTACTGGGGATAAATAAGAATTTTCTGCAGCTGCACTGGGCCTGTTTCAGCACAGTAAAGCTCGTGAAGATGCCAGGGGTGGAAAATGTGTCAGTGCACCTTCCGGCTTCTGGGTCTGAGGAAGCAGCCATGGTTTGAGGGACTGGGTCCAAGCCTTGATCTGTCAGTAACCAGCTGAGCCATCTCTGACCTGTCTAAGCCTCTGATTCCACATCTGAAAGTGATCATATTAATATATAATGTGTATCATGCTTCAGCGTTAATAAAATATCTCAGCAAAATTTTGTAATTTAATATAGGTCCTGCATAGATCTTATTGAGACTCTTCCTGGATATTTTATAATTTCATTGGCTACTGAAAATGAGATTGCTTTTCCCCATCAAGCATGTACACAGGTTATTGCAAATAAATAGAAATCCTATTGATTTTTGGATGTCTATTTCGTATCTAACTGAGCACTTTTATTAGTTTCAACAGTTTCCCTTTGTTATTGTTATATAAGTCAATTCTTTGCAAATAATAATCGTTTTGTCTCCTTTCTTTTCTTTTTTGTTCTGTTGTGAAATATATCAAATATGTAGAGAATAGAGAATAATACAAACAACCCTATTCAGAGCACCTAGCTTTATAAAATCATAAACTATACTATGTTTACTTCAGATTTTAAAATAGATTAAACATTACTTCCTCTGTTACCCTTCTTGATGTGATTCCTCTCCCTCCTGAAGGGTAATGATCACCATTGTCATAAATTTGGTGGTCTACATTCATGTGTGTTTTTATGCTTTTCCCATTTATTTACATATCTATAAACATTGTCAACATTCTTTTGCATGGTTTAAATTTTAGATAAATATCATATTGTCTTATATATGTAAATGTATAATTACTATACTATAAATTTTGCAACTTGTTTTTGGTATAAAATTATGATTTAGAGAATTCTCTGTGTTTGTTAACATAGCTACATAATTCAGTTTCATTAATTTAAATTTCATTATATGAGCATTCCACAACATGTTTGTCTGTTCTCCTTCTGATGGACATATAAATCGTTCACAATTTTTTGCCATTATAAATAATGCTGCAATAAGTGTTCTTATGGATGAATCTTTCTAGCCCGTATACCTGGAAGTGGAATTGCTGAGTGGAAGGAGGTGAGCATCTTCAACTTCAGTGTGCCTTGCCAGGTTGTTCTCCACAGGGCGGGCACTAATTACACTCCACCAGCAGGATGAGCACGCCTACTTCTCTACAGCTGGGCTAACCCTTAGGATTGTGAGGTTGATGAGTGTGAATGGTGTCTCAGTGTAGTTTGATTTGCATTTTCCAGTCCTAGT